CATTCAATGGTGATCTAATAATGTTCTTGAGACCAAATAGGAAGAGAATTGACTTGAAATAATAATCAGATTGCTATTATGATGAAATATTCCTCAGCTTTTATATAGTAGACATTAAATATACAGCAATAGCACAATCATAAAATGGGATGAGAAGACTGGTCTTCCCTCTCTCCTTTTTTTTTTTTTTTTGGAATGATCTGGTAAAAGCCTATCTTTTTCTCCGTCAATGAATTTCTGGCTTCTCTTATTGAAGAGCCGTAGCCATTGGGCTATTTGTTAGAAGTCTGCCGTTGCAGAGAACCTCTGATCCTGCTATCACAGCTCAACTGATGAACTCAATTTAAACTAAGGCCTGGTGGGGCCATAGACTTCTCAGGCAAGCTTGTGCTGCCCAGAGATTGGGCTGTCATCTAAAAGGGTTTTCGCACCAGATGAACCTTTTCATAATTCCTAGAACTATGGCAGATGTCCCCAGATTTTGGCGCATTTGCACCGCAGGAATTAGGAACCATTTTAGGAACTCTTTAGGAGGAACTAATGTAAATCCTAATTCAGAGTAGGGTCTAAACCAGGCCGAACGCCATTTTTAAAAAGGCTGTGTAAACACACAGATTACAGGCTATATGTTTACTTCAGAAACTAACTTTGGGCCTCTTAAACTAACTTTGAAACTAACTTTGGGCCTTTACGCTAAGGAGAAAATCCAACTCAACTTTGAGGGGACCAAGAGAAACATGATTATGTATTTCTGCTCAGCTAGCAACACTAGACATCAACCAGAAGGCATACTACCAACTTTTCATTACTGTCTGTCTACTTTCTAGTATAATAGTTCTATCTAATAACATATTAGACAGCACTGTTAGACAGATCGTAAACGAATGAACATGGATAATACAAGCACTGTGAGCTCAGGCTCTCTGCACCTTATAAAGGGCACGCCGTCAAAATTAAAAGTCACAACAACAAGTGAAGCTTACATCACTTTAGAGTTCCTACTGATGGTGCGAATGCAACCAGAAAATGTTCCTAGGGGAACCATTAGTTGTCTGGGAATCACCCAGGTGTTTAGTTCCTTCGGTGCGAACGCCCCTAATATTTACCCTCATGTTGTTCCAAACTTGTTTGTTTGACTGATTTTGACTGACTGACACACACACACACTTGATCTTCATTCAATTGTGGACAGGGTTTCTACACATAGGAAATGGGATTTCGAAACATTAAATTATAAACCGTAAACTCAAATACCCAATAAATGATAATATATTGTGTAGCTGAAAACAGTGTAAACAATAAACTCAGACACGTTAACCTGATCAAATCAAACAAAAACAAACTAACCCAACCAAATCAAACACCTCAAACCATCCCAACCAAATCTGACACATCAAACTAACTAAATATTTTGCAGTTAGCAGGCAATAGCACATGTTAGCATGCTATATAAAACATTTATTTACCTCATGAAAAGTCTGCTGTTGGTATAATGTATAATGGAAGTGGAGAGAGAAAAATATAATCACTTCATTTGCTCTAGCACAGTAACTGGTTTTTAAATGAAGCAGCAAAAGCATGGAAGCTCCACAACCTAAGCATAGGCTCCACTTTTCACCACAGTGGTAATTCCACAAAACACCAACAACACTTCTAAATCCCAACATAACAAAACATTAAACAGAATAAGTCTGTCCCTTTTCTCATATTAGTAAAAAAACAGATAACAGCACTTAATTTCAACAAAAATGATCCCCATTCAATTCCTTGCAATGCATGCTGGGAACTGGAAATCCCCCACCTACTTTCACAAAATGGATTAATCCCAAATCGATTAACTAAACTTCTGTTTTACAAATGTAAATTGCACAAAATGCAGTTCATTAAATTAGCTTTTATGAAACTTTAATCACTGAAATGAAACTGATGTTTTTGTGAATAAGGGGACCTATTTTATTTTTATATTTTGGTTAAAATCAACAAATAATCGTGATAATTAATCGTGATCTCAATATTGATCAAAATAATCGTGATTATCATTTTGACCCAAATCGTGCAGCCCTAGCACATGAAAAGGCTTAATGTCGAGCCCTGTACATATTCACATACTTCTCATTTCCTCCATTTACATATGACTGATATCCCACTCACTAACTCTCTGGTGAATTAGCTTATCTAATCTAAGAGATAGAATCGCCACTTGAAATCATAAAACATCTCTGACACCACCACATCAATAAATCAATTACTCAAAATAAACTATACATTTTCTTAAACGGATGTCAAATAAGAACAAATGATTACCTGGAACAACACTACCTCAACACTAAGTCACAATTAGCATCTGACTGAGAGCACTTCCACATTATAAGAAGCTAGACCTTGCTATTATCTTGAAAAGAAATAAAGAAGCATGGATTGAAGCATAATAGCATAAGCTCTCTGAACCAGCATAATGTTGACTAAATCATTTTCTACCATTCACAGTGGCAATCAGTTACACTTAAGCGAGATAGTTGTGAGAAGTAAGAAAATGATTCTTGGCATGACTGACTGTGAGTGACTGAACATCTCTTGAGGGCATAATAAAGAGAACCACATCTTAAACCTTTCAGACCTGGCGTCCATTACTATGAATGTGACACTACTTTAGATCTTGTGGATGAAGGTTGTATGTTTAACAGCCAATCAAATAGCAATATAGCATTTTAGGCCAAGTGCAAAAGTAATGTAGCTTTGAAAAATGTAATATTAACAGGCTTCTCATAACAGTTTGTAATATTAAACTGATTTGTATGGCATAAAATCAACCATAGAGTTAAGTATTCATTTTTTGTCAGGCTCATACCATTTGATATTTTTTTCATTATTTCTAGTAGCCAATATTTCAAGTGTAAATAATCTAGTTCACAGACCACAGTTTGCTGCATACAACGCTTTGTGGTCTTTTATTTAGTTATTGTGAATTGACAGTTAATCAGTGCCATCTCTTTAAATCTAGATTACATCATTTCTTTTCCATGCTTTGCTCTTTGAAAAATCAATGCTTGATTAATTGCAAAAAGCTGGACTTTGCTGAGCAAAAGGATGATTGTGTCTAAATTAAGGAGCACAAACAGCATCATTTCAGCATCTCTCTTCCACTTGATTATGTTCTTGTTCAACTTTTTGATGTATTAGGAAGCATTAATATTGTCTGTAAAAGGATAGACAACAAAGTGAGCTCATATAAAAGCATAGCGTGTTATAAGGAATACATTAATAGTGTGAACCACAGGCAAATGTATGGACAAACTGTCTGCCTTCACTGCCTTCGAATGCTGCTATATAGCCATAGGAAATACTGAGACACTTTCTATTTTTCATTATTTGCCCCGAATCCTCAGACTAGACATGCTACACAGCAGTGTTCAGCTGTGTCTGCCCATATTGCTGTTTGTCAGGCTGGCTATAGCCACTGTGACAAATCACCAGCAGGCAGCCTTGTTAAAACACTGATGTGGTTTAATGGGTGATGTCCGAGACTTGGGTACATCTGATGAGCTCTCAGCAGACATTAGTGACCAACCGTATCCACTAGAGCGATCACAATTCTGGCTGTAGTTTGCCAGTAATACATTTCTTTTTCACATAGAGAAAGTAATTTCTAAACTGAATCTATATGCAGTCTTTTTGTTTCTACGTCGACTAAATCATTACGAACATGTTCTCTAAAAGTTGTCGGCATTCATATACAGTATGAGACTGGCCTAAATCCACAAAGCCCAAAACAGTGACTTAATTCAGCTACCAAAGCGCCTGCAACAAACTGAAGAGAAAAACGAGCCTTCTTATGTATTTTCAGCCTCAGCCAAGCTCACCCATCCATGAAAATCCCATCTCAGGGAAAGAGGAGGTGAGGACCTGTGAGCACACATGCACACACACATTTACTCGCACACAGCAGACAGTAAAGGACACGCCACCAGATCCTCGCTAAAGCCCTTTATCCTTATCATAACTACTCCCACAATTACTCACATGATTACTCACATACCTGTTTCCACCAAGCCATGCTGCATTTTTACTGTCCTGGTAATACAAAAACCGTCTAGGTTTTTAACTGGGCCGCGACAGACACACACACACACACAACGGTTAAATCAAGCTGGTGTATGAGAGCGTGAGACTTGATACTTAACGCCCAGACAGATACAAAAAGGAGGCATGTTCACATATATACTACACAAGCCATCTGAAATAATATCAACATGACTGGCTGCAAACAGCCACTTCTGCAGTTTACTTTACATCTCTTAAAATCTTTGAGCTTTGAAATGGCAAGGACTTACTCAATGGCGTAATGAGCAGACAGCATAACAAGAAGATGAGGCTGATTTAACTCCACTTACAAATTTGCACAAAAAAATGAACGAGCTTAATTACACAGATCAACTAAGACTTCAGAGGTGCCTGGAGAAAAAAATATACTGCCTAATGTGCCTATTAAACATGAGAACATGAGAACAGTGCCACTTCTAGGGTAATCAGAGCTCCACAACACATCAAGCTGTATTAACATACACATGATCTGAACACAACAAATGCTTTCTGCTAAAAGTCCAACATAAAATATGCATGTTTTTAGGGGAAAATGTCTAGTAGCGGTGACAAATCATTTCAACAGATAGAAGAGCTCAGTCACGCTGTGCTATTGGGTCCTCTGGATGGATGCTTTTCAAAGGTCGACGCTAGCATTTGGAGCTCGAGATGTGCAAAATCTTACCCACCCACTGACACTTTCAGTTACTAACAACACATCTGATATCGATAACATACCCCCATCAAAGCACTGACTCGTCAATCATCACAGAAAGACCCAACAGGAAATCCCAAAGGAGGAGAGGACGACAAATGAAATCAAGAGGTAAATAAATGAATCGATGGATGAATAATAGATTAAGCAGCAAGTGGCCCCTTCGAGCAATGCCACGAATGCAATATTAATAAGCAGCTCTTACTGTTCGTCTCTGTGTCATCACTGACACTCTTAGGAGGAGCATGGGCCGAATAACACACAGCTGATCTGTACATTCGATCCGGATTACGGATTTTCTTCAGTCCTTCAGGAAGCAGAGAGAGAGAGTGGAGAAGACAAAAAAGAATTCTGGGAAAAGTACACATTCCCGGATGTACAACAGCTCACAACTTTGTTTTAGTCTTTATTTCCCCCATGCACATCGCAGGAACTTATAAGAATGTTTTCTCGGGGTCAGCAGTGTCGTGTCTGCCGAACCCCGGTCTCCCTCCCATCAGCAAGCCCATGCATCCCAAATGTGTCCGTCTCCATGCTGAGGAACACCTCTCCCGAACAATATGCACCGTTCGGCCTCAGAGTTCAGCATGCCTATTTGCTTCTCCCCTTTTTTTTTATCAAGCACATTCAGGGGTGCATTTAAAGGGATTACTTTGGCCTAAGGGTGCTGCCTTGTGGGGAGAAAATGCAGTTTCATTTGCAGGCAGGGGTGGACGAGGAATGTAAAAGCGACCCGGTTCTCTTGTAACTTGAGACCGCATGCACATTTTCATTAAGTATAACAAAGTATTATAGATGGCTCCAGCTGTTAATGGCTATAAGGTTTTACGCTGCCAAGGGAGAAAACAATCTAGACAACTGCGTGTAGTAACTCCGATGCTAATTTATTTGTTTAAAAACTCCTGACATGTTGTGTGTGTCTGCCTGTGTTTCTTGTATTTTTTCACTTTCGCTCCTCAGTCTTACTGACAAATCTGTCGGTGTTGAAATAAACTGTTAAGAAATAGCCCTTAACAGGTAGCAATGAGGGCAGCAATCACACTCATTGTGGTCCCAGGGCTGTTTGGTGAGGCTCAATTTTAGTAAGCTACACCAATCGATGAAGTTAATGTGTGTTTCTGTGTGAGGCAGGTGGAGAATGATCGAGACAAGCCAAAATGATCTGTTCACAACTCCCCAAGAAGTGGCATCTCCATCTATCCCTGCCATTTACTAATTCAATTAAAAAGCATATTCTCAAACTAAGACCTGTGGGGTAGAGGAGGACTATGCAGAGATCTTTAAAAGTTCATTTTCTACATAATGGCTCAATATATAAAAACAAATCCTGCTTTGTAAGCTTATATCCTCCCTGCTTCTATTAATAGTCAGTTGTTGTAATAAACAGCACCCTGTAACAGCCTTTCTGCCCTTCTCCGAAGGAACCACCAAATTCAAATTGATCTGTAAAGAAATATGGAGCATAGTTGAAATTTTTGTTTAAAGTCATTGTTAAAATCCCTTATGTCATCATTTACTCACCCCCATGTCCTCAATATCTGTTTTAAATATCTTTTTTTGTGTGTTCTACAAAGGAAACAAAGTCTGGTTTGGAAAATGATGAGGGTGAGTAAATGAGTAATTTATTTTTTGGGTGAACTGTCCCTTTAACTGTGCAGATCTCAAGCACATCTCAATCCACGGTCGCCACCTTCCATAGGTACAGTCCTTGTTCCTGGCAATGTAAAAAGTGAGCTGGGTCATATCAGGAGACAGAAGAACTCTATGGGGTGCGTGAGACATTAACCATGTTTTCATAACAGCCTCCAGCAAAGAACAGCCTGTCCTTATGTGCAAAAAAACCCTGCCAAATAATAAGGCCCTGGAGAACCGTGCTCTATGCAAACATTTTAAACGCTTCAAGGACAAAAGGTTCAAATACAGGCAACAATCTGCGCTAAAATGTATAATGGGAAACTCCCCTAGCATACATGCTTAAAGTGTGTAGGCCTAGAGTTTAAATATAATGCACTATATGGGACTGTGAATTTAGTTGTAGCTATACAGTGCAGTGCACTCTATATTAATATGGAGGTGTGGAACACTAGCTCCTCCCCCATACATTGACCTGACAACCATGACAAAAATAACCCAGCCTGTTCTGCAATGAGAGTCACAAGTCAGGGTTTCTAAAAAGCTCTTGGTTACTGAGAAGCATTGGCAGGAAGCAGGCCAGTCTGAGACACGTTTCAAGGCTGGTTGTGTTTGTTTGAATCGGAAATGCACACACAGACATGCAGAGATTGCCTATGCACACATTAACATGCACACACCCACAATTACACACACACACCAAGAGAGAGCTGGTTTAGGTAGTTAGCCTCAGTGCTGTTTTGAAAACAAACGGAGATGTATATTTATGGTAATGCTTGTATTCTTAGCTGACACGGTGTTAAAAATATAAAAGTGAACATTTGGGAAGCTCAATACCACCTCCTTGTGGATTGCTATATTCAGAATCAGAATCCTGGATTTGACTGGAGTCATGTTTTAATGGCACTTTTATTAGGATAATTTATTAGTTTATCAATATGCATAATTTACTACACAGAAGTGAGATTTTATAATCAAACTCATCTTTCACTTTCTACTACGCTATTTAGCATCATGATAAGGAAAATATCATAATCACAGCATGATTTATAAAGTCATATTGCTTCTTTAAAACGTTTTTATAGGCTAGTTTGCTATCAAAAACATGATAGGGTGATTATATCGCTTTAGCCAACTGAATGTTTGTAAGATAATATCATGATTCCCTAAAATAAGTTTAACTCAATATCGCCACCTTGTGGCTAATAAAATATTATGTGCTTTGATCTGACACTGAAGGTGAATTTCAATAAAAAAAAATCCTCGCAACTAATGACGACTTCCCAAAACCTCGTTGTTCATACATTTGAAATACAATGAAATCTTCTATATGAGAGTGTTGACAGCTTGACAAATCTGTTTAAAGTGTAATTATTGTCGTAGAGCCCTAATAATAGCCTACTAAACAATAGCGTTGCTACTTCTGAAATAATAATTAGTATTTCAGCCAAATGTAGCAGCGACATACTGTGGACATACATTATATTCAACTGTACTAGAGTGTCTGAGAGTGAAAGCAACTCTTGTTGTGTCATACATTCAAGAGACAAATATGAAAAGTGTCCAAAACAGTGTTAAAGGGAAATTGTTGTGTATAATTTTCTTCCATTTTGCGTTATTGTCGACACATCCCATTGGTTCTATAAAGGTCTGGAAATATGAGACTCTCTGGTTATACAATAATCTAGTTCAGAGATTTAAACTGCTGTTTATGTGTATGACGTAAAGGGGACAAACTGGTATGGAAGAATGTGTCCTTGAAGCAAATTTCAAAGTGAAATTGCTTTGACCACACATCACAAAACCGCAAACAATAAGGTCAGTTGGAGTCTATATACGCGTGAAAGTGACTGAGAGGTAAAAATTCAGTATTAAACAAGCTTACCAGTAGTGTTTTATACGACTCCAGGATGTAAGGTAGTTTTCAGTCAAACTACGGTCTCCAGAACTCTATACCCGCAAACTCAGAAACAATTTACTCAACTGAAGAAGCTTGATAAATCGAAAAAAGAAGTTAGAAATCGACAGTTTTCAAGCTCAAGCTCACAAGTTTTGCTTTGAGCGCGACCGTTAAGGCTGAAGGAAACGGACCGCGACACGGATTTTTGAATTTTCAGAGGCTCTCGCGCTTTTGCTCCGGATTGTTTTTAAATATATGTGATGCACACTGTTGGCTAGCTACCGATGCTGGCTAGGGTGATGTGATGTGATGTCTCCGTGATGGAATAACGAGTGTGTGAGGATAAACACAGAGGCTTTAAAATCCCAAAAGCTCCTCGCTTCTCAACTGACGGCTCCTCCTCGCCTGCCTCCAATTTTTTTCCCTCGCACACTCTTGTCGTACAAGTAAAAAATATCCACGATGTTTCTGACTTACCTTCCGGCTTGTTTTCGGCAGCCATTTCCCCTCCGCGCGCCACATCCTCCTCCTCTTCACGAGCGTTGGGTACCACGCGCGTTCACGCAGAGGACAGCAGCACGAGAAGGGACTGGAGAGGCAGAGGCAAGTCCAACCAGAGCGCACTCACCATTGGCTGTCGAACTATGACTGACCATGTTGTTCTAAAATGGCTTGCGAGACCAACGCAAATATCCTCCCCTTTAAAGTGTCTCTGAGAACCATTGGGTAAAGCGTGGTGTGTAGATACACCTTAAGAAGAACCGAACCAATCAAAAGTGAGCGCTCGTGAGACGTTCGCGTGCAAATGAAAAGGCGATGCAAATGTTTCAACTTGCTCAGTTCAAAAGCAGAAAACGTATTTCATTCGTAAACAATTCAGGTCAAGTTATTTGTATAGGCTACGTTTTGTAGATGACCCAAGGAATTTGGGGCTATTGAGTTATTGTATTTTCAAATCATAGCTCTGCTACCATATGTTCAACCCACTAAAATTGAAAAGTTTTTCGACCACTTTGAATTTATTTATGAAGGAAATCGAGTTAAAACTTTTTTCTTTTCTTTTTTTTTTTACAGTTTATACACACAACTGCTTTTTATGTTGTTAAAGCGATGTATACAATTAAGATAAACACATAGCAATCCACCTAGGCTATAGCAACGTTGGGCTGAATGCGCGGAAGAGCTGCGCAGGTGCTGAACGGACAGCTCCAGGTGGCAGCAGCGATCCACACTCACAGTGCGTAGAGAGAGACAGACCTAGGCTCCAAAACGTCTTATGGTTAACTGAAAGTATCCTGCACAGACAGAGAAACAGTTTCTGACAGCCTATTACTAGAGTATATGAAGAATGCTGTGGTATAGGTCCCATCTGAATTGCCTAGAAAACCTCAAAACTGCGTTTAGGAATATGGAAGTCGCATGATACCCAAGCTGATTAATTATTCGTTAGATTAAGCATTCGTTAATTGCACTGAGCGTATAGATAATGGCTTAAATGTCTCTCTGCCCGCAGCGAATACCCGCTATGAAATGTTATCAATAAAGCGTCATCTTTATTGCTTGCAGTTTCTTGATAACATGAGTGCTTTCCAAATGCTTATCTGTTCGTTTTCCAAGAGAAAAATCTTGGATTGTTGAATAAAACATTCTAAATGACCCGTGTGGAGAGAAAACATTTGGGCCAGTATATCAGACGATATATCTGGTGATGGAAATCAAGTTCAATGCATATAGCAACGGTTTAAATTAGGATTAGAACGTGTTCAGAAGGCTAAAAATAATACTTAAAGCCTCAACAGTGTTATTCTACTACAACTTTTGAGGCACTTGAATTCCCTAAGGGACTAAAAATTTTACTACAGCATAATTCCTTATGAACTTCTGCACATGACACTGATTTTTTTTTTTTTTAGGGATATACATTTGTCCTATATAGGGTAAATGTCCTATTGGGGTAAATTACTTTCTGCAAATTGTCTGAAACTTCACATTCAAATGCATTTTCACTCTGAAAAGTAGTGAAAAGGTCTTTAAAAAGATTAAAACATTAAAAAGCTTTATTAACATTCTATTTCGTCTTGTGCTGCTATATTTCATTTGGATAGATGTGAAAAATTCAAAAACCTAACTAATTCTGATGCAACTTCAAAGTAGCGTGTCACAGGCTGGTTGAAGCAGGCACGGAGGCTGGATTAAAATGCAGCAGTGTTTATTTAAGAAAATGAATGTTTTTTGATGAAAACATTACAGGATTTTTCTCCATATATTGGACTTCAATGGGAACCAAACGGTTTAAAGGGCTTTAAACGATTCCAGACGATGAATAAGGGTCTTATCAATAGAAACGATCGCTCATTTAAAAAAAAAAAGTTTAAGTTTTATTAGCTCAAATGCTCTCCTTGCTCTGTTCTGTGATGCGCGTTCGTGACTCTCCTGTTCGAACTAGTTCATCAAAATGAACGAATCTTTTTCCGAATCATTTTGTTTATTTCGTTCGTTGAATGAACCAAATGACACGAAAAAGGTTTATAGATAGAGTCTGTGAACTGACTAACGTCAGTTGTCTTAGTATTCACCACTGTATTACGAACATCACTGTACAGTTAAAGGAGTTCACTTTTAAAAAAAACTTTTGCTGATAATTTACTCACCCCCATGTCATCCAAGATGTCCATGTCTTTCTTTCTTCAGTTGAAAAGAAATTAATGTTTTTTTAAGAAAACATTACAGGATTTTTCTCCATATAATGGACTTCAATGGACCCCAACCGTTTCAAGGTCTAAATGAGAGTTTCAGTGCAGGTTCAAAGGGCTTTAAACCATACCAGATGATGAATTGGTGTGCGAAACGATCGGTCATTTACAAAAAAAATAAATAAATAATAAAAAAAAAAAGTTTAAGTTTTATAAGCACAAATGCTGCCTCCCTCTGTTCTGTGATGAGCGTTCGTGACTCTCCTGTTCGAACACTTCTTTGAGTCATTTCGTTCGTTGAAGAAACTTTTTCATTTATTTTTGAACTGGTCGATCATTTCGCTAGATAAGACTTATTCATCGTCTGGTGTTGTTTGAAGCCCTTTGAAGCTGCAATGAAACTGTCATTTGGACCTTGAAACGGTTGGGGTCAAATGAAGTCCATTATATCGAGAAAAATCCGAGAGAAATGTTTTCATCAAAAACCATAATGCAATGATTTGATGGTCCACCTGCCTTTTAACATACTACATTGGGACGGGATCATAGTCGTCCCAGCCCTTTGTCCAGTGTTTCTCCCATCCTGAGGGTGGCACTAAAGACCTTCATGCGCTCCGATTCTACACACCAAAGATCAGCGAAGTTTGATCTGTCGCTGGGGCGGGGATGAAAGGTGGTAAATATGGCGGCGGCCTTGGAAGAAGATGAAATCGACAATGATGACTATTATTCTTTGTTAAACGTCCGCAGGGAGGTATGACACACTCTTGTTTAATGAGAAGTTTAAGATGAGAGAGCCGCAAGTGAGTCGTGAAAGCAGGCGTTTCGCATATCGCGCTGTTGAACAGGATCCGACAACATGCCGTTAAGCTATAGCTCAGTCAGCAGCACACCGTGACCCTTGTTTATCATTGGAATTTGACTGCATGGTTTCTAATAGATCTGACACACAATACGTAAATGCCTTCTGTTCTTTTTATACTTCAGCGAGAAGCACGGAGTACTATAAGCGATTCTTGTTGACCCTTCACAACTGTAAAAGTGAAACTGTTACCAAAGTCTTGACTTCAAACTCTACTAATGACATTTAAACATTCATTGAACCGTTTTCTGAGATATTTTGTTCTTTGCCAACTGTTAAGGTCATTTTAATGAACAGTTGACCCAAAAGTGAAAAGTCTTAGTCTGTGGGCATGTTATACAGATTGCTAACGTATCTTTTGCCCTAAAATCAAATCAAATGGTGACTTTTTATTTTGTCTAACCTCAGTGGAACAGAACGGAAGAACAAAGTTTTGGAGAGGGAGTAAATTATGACAAATTGCATTTTTGAGATAATGGTTAGTGTGTGCACACAAAAGTCTCCAGACTATCACTTCTGAACTGGTTTTAGAGTTGATTGTTGCACCTTTTTATTGTATATTCCCCTCCATAGAGCAATGCTGAAGTTTAGGTGTATGATGATGGATCTGAAGAATGAATGTTTTTTATATATTCAGGCCACACAGGACGAGCTCAAGGCTTCATATCGCCGTCTTTGCATGCTCTACCACCCAGACAAGCACAGAGATCCAGAGCTTAAGAGGCAGGCAGAGCAGCTTTTTAACTTGGTGCACAAGGCTTATGAAGGTACAATGTTTTTGCACACTCAGCCATTTAATGCCTCTGTCAAAGCAAGACACTTTTGTTGTATTATGTGCCTGTTTTTATTATCAAAGAAGTGTTTTGTAATGTTTAATCTGACAGCTTTTCTTTACTGTAAACACAAGTTTTTAATACCAACTCGTGAATATTTCATGATTGTGATTTTATTTGCTTCTGTAGTATTAAGCGATCCACAATCTAGAGCAATCTATGACGTATATGGGAAGAGAGGGCTGGATGTGGAAGGATGGGAGGTAAGTTGAAGATTTGGGAGACTAATAAATGCTTTAGCATTCGTTCCATAGTTTATTGCATTTCAAGCAAATCATTTCCCCAGTGGGCTTATGTGTCATCTTTTTTTGTGCTCACTACTACACAATAAAATTTCTAGGTAGTAGAGAGGAAAAGAACGCCAGCAGAGATCCGTGAAGAGTATGAGAGACTTCAAAGAGAGAGAGAGGAGAGAAGACTACAGCAAAGGACCAACCCTAAGGTTTGACCTAATGCCTTCAAAGCAGTATCTGCTGTCAACATTAAATACAGGTCTCGTTGATTGTTCGCTGTCTCACTCAGGGGACAATAAGCGTGGGTATTGATGCGACAGACCTCTTTGATCACTATGAGGAGGATTATGAAGAGATCTCTGCTGGTGGCAGCGGCGGTTTACCGCACATTGAAATCAACAGGATGCACATATCTCAGTCCATAGAGGTACAGTCCTTAGATTATTTTTCTTCTGATGTAAACCTTTATAGATACATTACTGTTTAAAGGTTTTTTTAAGGACTTGGATTTGATTTGAGTTTGTCTTTTGACTCGCACGTGCAATATACTGTTAAGAATGCATTTTTTCATTTCAGAAAAATTGCTAGACTTCACCCTATGCTATCTTCTCATGTGACTCAAAGGCTTATCGATACTTTTGTTTTATCCTGCATTGACTACTGCAATGCACTTCTTGCTGGGGTTCCTAAAACCACACATTTTTAAATCTAACCTAATAACTTTTTTTTTAGGCCAGCTTTTTATTGATGATTTTAACTACCATAATTGTATACCATTCTGTACCCTTTTTTCCTGTACTCTTTGTATTTTTAATTTTTTATCTGTCTGTTTTATTGTGTAAAGTTCCTTGTGTAGCCACTTTATAGGCGCTATGTAAAATAGATTATTATTATAGTAAATATAAAAAATGTAATTGACGGTAAAAATGTTTGTAATTAATCAAAAGTGACCGTAAAGACAATTATAATGTTGCAAAATATTTATATTTCGATCAAATCCATGCTGATCTTTTGAACTTTCTATTCATCATGAAAAAAAGTGAAAACAGTTTCCAAAGAAATGTTAAAGGGATAGTTCACCTAAAAATGTACATTTTATCATCACTTAATCACCCTCAAGTTTGTTCCCTCTTCTGTTGACTACAAGAAATATATTGTGAAGAATGTTGTTAACCAGACAGTTGATGGTAGCCATTGACTTCCATAATATGAAAAAAAAAGTACTATGGAATTTTTATGCATTTTTGGGTGAACTATCCCTTTCAGCACCAAATGTTACAATGATTTCAGAAGGATCATTTGACACTGATCTTTGATGTTGAAAATTCAGCTTTGCCATCAGAGGAATTCGAAATTGTAATGTTTCAAAATATTACAGTTTTTACTCAATTTTTGTCCAATAAATGCAGCGAGAGTTAACAAAAAAATCTGTCATTAAATTTTGTCATGAGTTTTATAGGCTGTCTATCCTTGCTCTCATAGGCCCCTCTGACCACCGCAGACACAGCCATTCTTTCTGGCTCTCTCTCCACACACAATGGCAATGGGGGTGGAAACATAAACTTAGCCTTGAGAAGAGTTACCTCAGCTAAGGGCTGGGGAGAGGTGAGGACATTCAGTTAATATTTTTCATACTAATGGACTGGATTATAATCTTTGCTGAGCATGAAACCGAACATGATTTATATCTTAACATATTTTGTTTAATACAGGTTGAGTTTGGGGCAGGAGACACTCATGGCCCTCTCTTCGGGCTGAAGATTTTCCGTAACTTGACTTCACGTTGGTGAGTCTGTTGCATATCAGTGGTGTTTAGAAAATCAGAAAATTGTATGCTGATTTGTTATGTTGGATACTATTTTGTGTATTGTATACTAAGATATATTTGTGTTTTTCAGCTTCACAACGGCTCATTGTGGCATGCAGTTTTCATCCCGTGGTATACGGCCGGGTCTCACTACTATGCTTGCACGCCACCTAGACAAAAACACTATGGGTTATTTACAGTGGCGCTGGGGAACTCAGTCTTCCATGAACACCAGCATTGTCAGGGACACCAAAAGCAGTCATTTCACCTTTGCTGTGCAGGTCAGTTGCTGTTTTGCACAAACATTCCCTGATCTTTATGCCAAAGTGTTCACTGTTCTTAGGACTTACCACTTTTGTATCACCATAGCTGGGAATTCCACATACATTTATTATGATGAGCTACCAGTACAAATTCCAGGATGACGATCAGACCAAGATCAAGGGCTCTGTCAAGTATGTATCTGTAGATTGCTGCCTTTGTCTTTTTGCACTAAGATGTCTTTTTTTTATGTTTTTTTTTTCTTTGGCTTCATTTACACTTTTAGTGTAGTGGTCAAAATTTGTCTACCAATATTCTTTTATTTTTATCATTATGCACAGTATACATATTACTATTTATTTGAATTGTGGTTTTTGAAATTAAGATTCTCTCAATATTATAATTTGGACATTATTTTAAATCAAAATTACTTTTGAAAACTTTTGCTGTATTCTTTCTAAGTGTTTTTTTTTTAATAATCTATATTGTGATTTGCCAATTTTTTAAAAGAATATTGTGCTTTAAAGTTGTTGACCATACCTATATACATATTTTATCTTTTTGCATCAATTTTGGATAAAATCCTATATGTGTATTCTCATAATCTCTGTAATTTTTACAGAACTGATTATGATAGGCTCAATGCTAAAATTACTAAATGCCTTGAATTCCCTAATTGTGAATCATAATTGCATGCACAAATAAAATTAGCTATAAGAGGTATTTTAATTTTTTTTATAGTGTATTTACTGTAGTAGATCTGCTGTCTCTTTTTTTTTTTTTGTATGTAATTATAAGCTTTGGTTCAAGCTTTAGTTGAAGTTAACATTGTGTTTTTGTTTGCTTATTATACATTTGTGATCAAACATGGTGAACACAGCAGTTTTGTTGTGGACCCCATTGGGGTTTGAAGACAGCTAGTCTAACATAAATATATAAACAAACAGGATCCGTGAATTTGGCTTTGCAGTGTAAATGCAGCCTCTGTGACTGATATCCTAGATTCTGTGTTCACATGACCTGCAGTTTATTTGTTGATAAGATAACTAATCAATCGTCCTCTCAAATGTCTTGATGATTCCCATTTTGTGTTTCTATCCTGTTCATATAAACAGCACTTGTGTTTCAGGTCAGGATTTTTCGGTACGGTGGTGGAATACGGTGCTGAGACTAAGATCAGTAGGCACAGTGTCCTGGGTGCTACTGTCAGTGTTGGAGTACCGCAGGGCGTCTCTCTCAAGATCAAGTAAAAGGCTTTTGATCATTCTGAAGCTGTTTCCCATTAGCAGTTTTTCAGTAGCTCTGAAATTGGGGTGTTTTTGTCTGTCTCAGGTTGAACCGAGCGAGTCAGACGTACTTCTTCCCAATTCACTTAACAGACCAGCTTCTACCCAGCGCCGTGTTTTACGCCACGGTCGGACCCCTTGTGTTCTACTTGGCCATCCAGCGGCTGGTTATCAGACCTTATGTTCATGCTCAGCAGGAACAGTAAGCCTTTTTAGCTGATTAAATCTGCAGTCTCGCAGTCACATTCTCCACCTGTTTCATTTTGTTGTCTTTTATTGGCCAATTGACTTTCAACCACTGTTCTCCAACGTGTATCCCCTGTGAGTCTGGAAAATAATAGACTGAAATCCTTTTAACTGGCCATGAAACTGAGTAAAAGAGCAAATGGTGAATTAACATTGAACCTTTTGTTTAGGGAGCTTGAGAAGCAGCGGGAGAGCTCGGCATCAGACGTCGCCAAGAAGAAGCAAGAGGCAGAAGCAGCTGTGAGTTTATGTCTAAATACGCTGCAAATAATTTATAATGCATGGCCGTTTAAAGTGGTCATAACTTTCACGACAGGCGCTTTGTGCTTGGAGAAACAATGAGTTAGCGTCAGGCTACCGTTCCTATCTGCAAATCAGTCGCTGTCTCTGGGTGATAAATGTGTGCCTTCACTATGTGCATATACAAGCAGTCTTACTTGAAATCACTCTTTTCTCTAGGTTCTGCTGATGCAAGAGTCTGTGCGTAGAATTATCGAAGCGGAGGAGTCCAGAATGGGTATGACCGCATAACACCCAATAACATTGGGAGTGATCAAACTATGATTTAAACTATGTGCCAAATGAGGATTGGTGACTCAGTAGTGTTGGATTCCAGGTCTGATCATCCTCAATGCCTGGTATGGCAAGTTTGTGACAGACAACAGCCGTAAGCACGAAAGGGCAAGGGTCATTGATGTCACTGTGCCTCTACAGTGCCTGGTGAAGGACTCGAAGCTCATTCTCACTGAGGCTTCTAAGGTAAATAACAGTTATACTTGCGAGTTGTTATTATTAATAGCGAGTTATTAGAACGGCAATGAATTCACAAAAAAGGTTTCTCTAGTTTTAAGTTGCCTATCGTGTGATTTCGCTGTTGATATATCAAATGGTTATACAGTACTTTTTTTTGGTAATGCTTTACTGAAAGAGAGGGAAAGAAACTGCAAGTTAATGTAAAATTAATTTTAAAAAAAGATGCAAATGTACACTAGACCAAAAGTTTCAAGTCAGTCATTTGTTTTAATATTTTAATATCTTAAGAAGCATTAAGCTGATCAGAAGTGACAAAGACATTTGTAATGTTTCAAAAGATTTCTATTTCAAATAAATGTTGTCCTTTTGAACTTTTAATTCATCAAACAATCTTGAAAGAAAATGTAGCACAGTTTCCACTAAAATATTAAGCAGCACAACTGTTTTCAACTTGAGCACCAAATCAGCCTATTGAAATGATCTCTGAAGGATCATGTGACACTGAAAACTGGAGTAATGATGCTGCAAATTCTGATTTGCATCACAGGAATAAATTATATTTTAAATTATATTAAAATGAGGGTTTTTAACGCAAACAATTAATTCAAAATCCTTAAAGGAGTGAGTAGTTCACTTTTGAAAAAACTTTTGCTGATAATTTACTCACCCCCATGTCATCCAAGATGTCCATGTCTTTCTTTCTTCAGTCGAAAAGAAATTAAGGTTTTTGATGAAAACATTCCAGCATTTTTCTCCATATAATGGACTTCAGTGGGAACCAAATGGTTCAAGGTCCAAAAGACACTTTCAGTACAAACTGCAAACTGTTCAAAGGGCTTTAAATGATTCCAGACGATGAATAAGGGTCTTATCAAGCCAAACAAACTTCAACAAACTGTTCTGAAACCCACAAAAATTATACAAAAAAGCAAACTTTGAAAAAGTGGAACTGCTGAACCATTAATGTTAAGCACTGTTGCAGGTATTAATTGGTTGTTTTTGCTTGTATGTCCTCAGGCTGGTCTACCAGGCTTCTACGACCCCTGTGTAGGTGAGGAAAAGAGTCTGAAGATGCTGTATCAGTTCAGAGGTGTGATGCACCAAGTTCTATGTGGTGACACAGAAGCACTCAGGATACCAAAACAATGTGAGTACGCAAAACCAACACAACAATCTGCAATGGTTTTTCAATCCATGTAATCCTGACTTAATGATGACAAATGCTTAATTGTGTTTACCAGCAGTGAAGATGACTGCTATTCCCAATTGTATTTTAAAATCCCATATTCTTTTCTTCCCTCTCTCTTTTTAGCCCACAGGATTGATAATGAATGACAGTTAGGAACATATATCTATTGAGCTAAAAGGGACAGCTTGGACTGGTATTGACTGAAGAGACAGATGTTCTGGAGTAGTGCCCTGGAAACACTCTGTGCCCACAAGTCTTCATATACCTGTTTATCCTTTATTTTGTTCTGTTTTAAATGATATTCTTCATGATGTCTGTTTGCAATTTAGAACATTTAATTGGAACGTTTAATTTCCTGGATTTCCACTAATAAAATAATGGCCTTTCCAAGAAAAAGCAAGACAAAAGATATATATTTTTGTGTTGGTAGGCCTCATAACCATTTTTAAACAAAGCCCCTCTTCTTTAAATATGGATCCACAACAGTGCCTGTAATCAGCACTCACCAGAGAGAGCTATTTTACCCTCATTACATCACAGAGAAACCATTGCTGCTTGATCCGACTCACCAAATCCCACAGGAGCTGGTGTGTACCCCAGCTGTCAGCCTTCTTTCTGTGTCTGACTTTTTGTACCACTGGCTTCTAAATAAATGATCTTGCAAGTGTTTTGGAGGCAAAGCATGTTCTTAGTGAAACCCTGACTGCTTAATCATCTGCATTATTTTTCTCTTTTATCCCATTCCCTTGAGTGTAATATTTGGAGGCCCACCTCTCGCACTCCACGTTTGCCTGCAGTGTCATATGAATTAAAGGGGCCAATGCACACAATATGCTGGTACTGTCAATGTGTGCTAGTTGAGAAAACAGAATGTGAACTAAATCTCAAGTAGGGCTAGTCTCCCACCTTGTGTCCAAAGACTTGAATAGCAACAGTGGAACATCCTCTGTTTGTTTTTTAGCCTCAATCTCCCTCAATCCCTGCATTACAGTGCCATACTTCCCACAGGAAAGATCTACACCCTTTTAACAGTCTTTGGTTGATTTCAACTTTTTGTTGCCTTTTTGGAATTTGGGGTCTTTATGAAAGCGAATTAATCTCTGTCTTGATCTTTTATTTGAAAGACTGGCTGTACGACACCTTTTTGTTTCCTTTTTGAGTTATATCATTTATATGAAATGTCCATTCTGCACACTTGCCATTTGAATGACGTTAAAAAAGACGATCTATAATTGTTTGCTGGAGTATTGGTTTTGCTTAAAGGTGTTTATTGTTATTATAATTGGCCTAATTGCCTACCATTGCAGCAAGTATAGACTGTCATTTTTTAAATAAATCATCAAGGAACAACAGGAAGGTGTATTGTGTTTAAATGGTGTACGGAAGAATCAGATTTTTATTTAAAGAAAACTTGCATAATGTTTCCTCAATTTATTAGCGGGGTGATATTTGATAGAATTGATTAACTTTACAATAAGGTTATATTTAACTACATTACTTGACATGAACTAAAATTGAAAAATACTTCTAAAGCATGTTTTAATTAGTTAATTTCAACATTTATTAATACATTGTTAAAATCAGACGCTGTATCTGTTAATATAATGGACCAGAGCTAATATGAACATGGAACAGTTAGTTAACAATATTAACCCAGATTTATGAATACTAACAAATGCATTGCTCACACTGTTAATAACCAATGGGACTTTATTGTAAAGTTTTTTTCATTTAATCTATATAAAAAATGGGGTGTTCACATAAGGCCTATCAAAACCAAAACATAGTAAAGTTCAGATTTAAATGGACTTGTCTAATTACTGATAAAACATTTCAATTTATTTTAAGATGTTCCCCGAGGTCTTTATTACTGCTTGACTAGGTCTTGGAACAACTGACACACTGTACTGGGAGCTGCGAGCGTCTTTGGAAATGTGTGTGTCTATAGCTGAGCTGTTGACGCAAAGTCAGAAGTTCTCTTTGAGCATCTTGCAGTTTAAGTTTCATTCTTTTTATCACCCTGCGTTTGGTCTGCAGCTTTCTCTGTAACCATCTGTTGCCATCTAAAATGTCAAACAGACGGGCTTTGGTCGTGCATGGGTCCAAAAGGGCATAGTTGTGGTCTGCGGCAGCTAAATCCTGTTTAAAAAAAGTATTTAATGCATATTGTATACACAGAATTATAGGTGTAGGTTTTAAGATTTTAAGACTCACCTTTGTGGTTTGACAGTAAACCTCTACAGTAGTGGGAAAGTGTTGAGCCTCCTCAAGCATCTCTTCAGTTTGGGCATCCTCAGAGAAAGGGGGGGTCCTATCAGGTGAAATGCCATCACATTTATCAGCAGCAGATTTTAAAGCCCTCTTCAGCCTCTTCCTGGAATTATTTTGCTGGCGGTAGAAAGATGACAATGAGACACAGAAGAAAAGTACACTGTGTATTGGTTGTATTTAAGATAATGAGGCGGTGTGTGATCTGATTTACCTTTGCATTCAGATGTGGCACTGCAAAGAGAGTTGGCACTGCGTTCCACAACAGATTTTTACGGTTGCCCAAACCACTGAAACTGTCCGGGGTGAAATGAAGTGAACAGATAACCATGTGCTTCCTTGGCTGAAAGTCGTCACGTCCAATGTTATCTAACCATTGTCTCAGAACTGATGGTTTGCTGAAAGGGAACCTGGCAAGGGATGATGGTAAAAGTCTTACAAATATTTCGGATACCTTTTTAATATAATGTCCTCAAATCACCATGCCAGTGAGCTACACGTGTCATTACCTACCTGTGGAACGTGATTTCGGGATTTTTGTTGTTGTACCTATTTGTGCAATTATATGCAGAACAACTTTTCGGCATCTTTGCCCCGAACAAAGATGGCGGCTATGAAAAGCCCCGCAGTGTCTCAAACGCTATAACATGAACATGTCCTTTGCTGTATTATTTTATTGATGTATATATATATACATACGTTATATTAAAATCAATAAAAAGACCAATCTGAGCCAAGATTTCCTTATTTACTAAAACAATCTTTGAAACGAACCAAATATTTATTTCAGTATGTTTTCCGGTGATTCGTTTTTCAAAATAAAAGTCCATGGGACCCAAATGCACTTTAGTAACTAAAGTCTTCCTTGACACATTTAATACGTATGGTAACATTTAAGATAAAAAAAAAATAATGATTACAATCAACCATAAATGAAAGAGTAGATTTCAAGTGGACATTTTTATATGAATGGTGTAATCATCAATCACAATTCTGTCATAGCTCCATAAAAGGAAGCAAGTAAACCATGTTGTAATACAGTTTCCACATTTAAAAAAATAATTATTATTTAATTATAATAACGCTCGTCCAAGCCACAGGACCTTGACATTTACTTTTTCTTTGCTGTATTTTACTTTAAATAACGCGTTGATACGTACGTTTGATATATGTTATGTGGAAGTAATAGACATCCATAGAGAAACTTTGAAGCACACACAAAAAAAAAAAACAAATTCTAGTGTTTTCATATCTGTGTCGTGCTGCCTAATATGAATCACGTCTGATCTCGCCGCACATAATATTTTTTTTTTTTTTTTTTTTTATTAATGCCAAGGTATCAAAAATACAATTAAATTACAACAATATACAAATTGCACATAGGAAAAAAAAGATGAAAACAATACAGCACATATGCATATAGCCACATAATATACATACAAAAAACTAAAAATAAATAAAACAGAACAGAATGCATTAATCGCCGCACATAATAATGGGAGTGGCCTTATCCCCGTCAGATGCGTCAGATGAGCCGCGGCTGTAGGAGCGACTGAAGAAGAGGGGGATGGGGAGAATTGTTTTTGTGTTGCATTCCTGCAGTGTGTTTGACCTTTGACCTCATTGTTGTGTTCTCCTCGTCTTGCATTCCAAAGTGAGGATTTCCTGCAGTATGCCAAAAGCTACTGGGGCTCGCCTTTTCTGCGCCCTGTCTGTGTTTACCACTATTTAACCAGTGAGACGTTACCAAAAAACTCCCTGGTCCTTCGCTGCTGCAACATCCGATCGCTTTACTGGCGACCCGTTTTACAGAAAGGCGTGCGAGTTCAAACGGAGCGACTACGCAAGTCCTGGGGGTGAAAAGGAATCAAGACCCGTTTGGTGTTACAGCTAGCTTAGCACGCTAACGGGCTTGCCGTGTTTCACGCACACGTTTCATATCCGCTGCAGAAATCCGCACCCGCGCGACAACATGAAGGACAAACAGAAGAGAAAGAAGGAGCGCACGTGGGCAGAGGCAGCTCGTATGGTAATATATTAATATTTTTAAGAAAATTATAGCGGTTTTATTCCTGTCTGTAGGGTTAGGGGTGTTGTACGAGAGCCGCGAACAAAGCTGTCTCGCGCTGGGCTGGACACATCCATGCGCCGCCGTTGCTGCTATTTGTTTATCTATAGACAACAGTGTGTGATGTTTCATAACCCGGCTTTTACCTTTACGCTGACATGGCTCTTGACACAAGGTTCCTGTATTCACCTTGACAACATAAGCATTGCATTTCTAGTGTTTGTGTCTCATTTGAATGAAAGAGCCCTTGCTGGTAGCCTAGCGTATTAGCAGCTCTGCCCGTTTGACCCTTTGTTTGCAGGGCTTCTTTTAGCGAGCTGAATAAAATGCTGAAAATACTCAGTGTGAGATCTTTGCCCGTTATTAAAGACCAGTTTTAACAAATGTGTCTTGAATACTAATTTGGGCTGCTTGTTTGTTTTAAGCAGCAACTGAAATAGTAACGTTAGGCCATATTTCTGTTTTTATCCAGTTCGTAATCAATTGATATTTTTGTTAGTTTATTAGGATTTCATTTGTAAATGTATTAGGAGCATTGGGTATTTTAATTCTCTATGCATGTATCAGTATACATCTGTATGCAGTTGAAAAACGATTTGTCTCTTATGTTAAGGTTTCTCCTTTATTATCCACAGTGGTGGTACATGGGTGCATACAATTGATCTGTAGTGCATATATTATTGCATGTTAAATGTAAATTATACATAATTCAATTCATGCTACAGGGAAGATGCTTGAATTATATTATCTGCATCTTCATAGTTTCTTTGTTGCATTTGGTGCAAATTAAATGGAAAACGTGTCTGATCTTGTTGCAAAGACTGGCATTTAAGTAAGATGTATGTCGGACATCTAGACTAGTAGAAACACAAACAGAACTGTATAATGTGAGACCGTATCAATTAAAATTTTCTCCCTTGTCAGACATTATGTGTCTCAAAGAGTGTCTCAGACCAAATAAACTTGTTACACTTATCATAAGCGTTTTTGCTTTCTTTAAAAGCACATTTTGTGTGGTTAAAATCATTATGTCTGGCAGGTCTTTGTCTGTTTTTTCTAGGTGATCATAACTGCTTTCACTCTTGAATTTGACTTGTTGAAAATGGCTAGTTTGAGATAAAAGTCTTGAGCAAAAGTAGATCTTGAAACACAAGTGTTGTCCTTTTGGGTGGGTATCCCATCTGCTGGAGAACCACTGCTTGTATCAACTATTGCAATTATGTCCCAGTTTAGAACCTGTAATTAAATGTGATGCCAATTGATTTAAATCCAAGGATATTGTCAACTTATACCAACAAAACAAATTTCAGATCTTTTGCAGGTGTCGCACGCATGGATTGAGCTTTGGGAAGCTGGTATGGGCATGCCTGTATACCAGGTAGAGTAGTCGTCTGTAGTAATCGGACAGGATCTCGGGGAGATGAGGGCACACTCAACACCAAACAGACTGAATACTTGAAATCCAAGTGCTGGTTAGGCTACAACACCATATTTTCAGTTCCATTAATTATAGGATGATCAGGTCTTTTAAATGATTCAGTTGTATGATTGATTAAAGCGCTTCAAAGAGCATTGCAGCATTATATACTGACTTGGAAACAAAGCAGCAATGAGAAATGGCAGCTTCGGGAGTCAGATGCAACCAGATACTTAGGCTCAAGGCCAATGTACATCAGATCATCTTGGTGATACAGTTGTTTGCAATAGGAAATGTGAAGCAGGCCACCTATTTTAGTGTTTCTGGTTATTTATGATGGTTCCTTCCTTAAGGGGACTCTTAATGGTGTGTATAGCCATCTTTGGTGTGTTGAGAAGAAAATTTGGTTGTCATTAGTCCTGATGCTGGATGTGGGTGATGCTGTGGTTTGTTTTTTGGTGGCTGTTTTAATATAGCATCCTCTACAAATGGTTTGGATGTTTGTTGGAACAAGAGAAACGTCACCACGTCACTTCAGAGCACTTTTGTGCAGCAAGTTTTGTTTGTAACTTTAACCCCTTGTCTAGTCTGTTGTACATTCATTCCCAGAGTTTGATATAAGACCTTTTGAAAAGATAACTTTCAGTTTTTTATTCTTAGCTATTAATAATTACAGCATAATCTTCAATTAAAATGTCATAATTTGATGTTCATTTCATTTGAAACGGCAGACGGCTTCAATTTGTATCCGCCCCTTTCTTATTGCATTCAGATGTGGCTCCATTCAACAAACGATGGATAGAAGTCCCTACATTTTCCTTTTTCTTTTTTTATACTCTTCTTTTCTTGGCTGTGCATCAATACTGAAGATGAGATCTGTCACTACTTCCATTTCATCATGACTTCAAGAATACTAAGCCACTCATTTTTAAGTGCATACATGTTAGAAAGTGTGTCTGCTCTGTATTATGGTATTGTATAATATTACTCCATTTTTCATTCCCTATGGTACCATGAAATAGCTGGGGTGAGGGAAGTAGAAATCATACTGGCACAACTCGACAGAAGCAATGCATAAATGTACCGCGCCTTTCAATTGCATTGTGTACACACATTACGCATTGGTGCCTTGTCAGGACTATGTTATAAATAACTAGGAAGTTTGTCTTGACATTGGCCTAGTAGTTTGAAGTTCTCACAGCTTGACGTTTTTCATGCCTGCTTCCTTGCAGGAAGTGCATCTGGCTGGTATTTTATAATTTCATTTAGTGTGTATTTGTGCTGTTCCATTTCCTGTTTCAGACTCGGCTGAGCACTGTGGAAGTGGATGCAGTGCTAACCATTTTAACCACCAAGTAATCAGAAGGTTGCATGTTCTTGTGGCCAGAACAGGGGGTGGAAATTATTTGCTCCGTATCAATAAGGAGAGGAATGTTAAAAATATGGTGTATTGTAATGATTAATACACCCTTCCCCCATTTCACATTTTCTCTGAATAATGTTCTTCCTGAGGTTTCACACATGCTACATGTGTTAGTCTTTTTTCCTACTTTCGTATAGACTAAAAGCCTGTCGTATACAGGGATTGTGAAAGTCTGGAACCTGTCTAATATGGACCTAAAATAAGAAAGCTGAGTGCTTCTGTTAACATGGTAGTCTTAAAATAAGTATGAATTGCAATGGGACTGTAATTGGCAAGCTGAGAGTGCTTTGCTTAAACTGTTAAGCGGTTTTCACTATAAACCCCTCACTGAAACTGTCACTGTCTTTTTTTTTTTTTCTTTTTTTTCATCCTCTTTAAATTGCTGCTACATCCATACAGGTACAGGCACAGTTCAACTGTTTTTGAGTTGTGTTTTTAAAATTGTGTGAAGTTAAATCATTTTAAAAACCTCGCTGGATCATTCTGTTGCACAATGCTTGGCTGTTTATAACATAAAAATGTAAACATGCCCAAATAAAGGCATTTGATTGGGGTTAGATGAACCCAAAACCCAAGTCCATTTAATAGACTAATCATACATTTAAAAAATGTGTATTTTTCACAAGTGGAAAAAAAAAACATACTAAATTTTGATGTGCTTTTTCTCTCTTGCAGGTTCTGGAGAACTTTTCTGATGCCCCAATGACACCCAAACAGATTCTGCATGTCATCCAAACAAAGGGGCTGAAAGAAATGAGGTCTGGTATAAAGCGTTCATAAACAAAGTACTGTGTTTCTGTTTGAGCAGTGATATTAACATGGAAACAAATCTCAAGCTTGAATGAGTACTTTTTTTTAAGTATCTTGACTCACTTTATTTATAATGGGCTAATAATTTGTGTTTCTCTTTTTCTCAAATTATTTCCACCCAAAAATAGAAGGTAAGAATAATTTAAAGATCTATTTGTTGCATCTTCCATTAAAACAGTTTAATCTTTCTTACTTGAGTGACACGCATTTCTACCTCTCTTCCATCCTTCCTCAGCGGCACCGCTCCACTGGCCTGCCTGGTCACCATGCTTCACTCTCAGGTTAGAGGAGACCGAGTGAAGAACAGTATTTTCTTCAAGCTGCCTGGAAGGATGAGTCTGTTTACCCTAAAGGTAGAGAATCTGTAAAACCTTGCAGAATTCTTTCTATGCTTCAAACTCTTTCACTGTTTTCATGGTTCCTACTGTTTAAATTGAGGAATTTCCAAGTCTGGATAAGTATGGAAATATATTCACCTATTCAGTTTTTTAATATACAAAATTACAAATTTAATAAATAAATAAATTATTAGTATTAAACAAGC